GTGGTCCTTATGTGCCTCATTCTAGGAAGCCAGCCTACAGTGAACCATCACCTCATATCAGTGCACCTCCTATTTAGAGTTATTATCGTGGTTATCTGTCCCGTTCGAGTTAGTCTTAGTTTCAACATCCACAGCACCAAGATGGATGTTTTGAGTGTGGTAATTTTGGGCATATCAGGAGGACTTGTCCGAGATTATTGGGTGTCATGCCACATCAGAGTTCTCGTGCCATGATTCCGGCACCGGTTGCACCGTCGCCCGCTCAGCTAGCTAGAGGCAGGGGTCAGGCAGCCAGAGGTGGAGGTCAAGCCGTTAGAGGTGGAGGTCAGGCCGCTAGAAGTGGAGGCCAGCCAGCTAGAGGTCGTCCTGGGGATATGGTTCAGAGTGGTGGGGCCCAGCTCCGATGTTATGCTTTCCCAGCTAGGCCTGAGGCTGACTCATCAGACACTGTTATCACAGGTATTGTTTCAGTTTGCCATAGAGATGCTTTAGTTCTATTTGATTTGGGCTCTACTTATTCCTACGTGTCATCCTATTTTACTTCATATCTGGTTGTGCCTCGTGATTCTTTGAGTGCCCCTGTGTATGTGTCCACACCCGTGGGAGACTCTATTGTTGTAGATCGTGTCTATCGTTCGTGTGTGGTTACTATTAGGAGTCTTGAGACTAGCGTAGATCTTTTACTTCTTGATATGGTTGATTTTGATGTCATTTTGGGTATGGATTGGCTGTCACCTTATCATGCTATATTGGATTGTCATGCCAAAATGGTGACCTTAGCCTTGCGAGGTTGCCTCGATTAGAGTGGAGAGGGTCTCCTGGCCATTCTACCAATAGGGTTATTTCTTATGTGAAGGCTCGGCATATGGTTGAGAAGGCATCCGATGTCCCTAAGACAGCTTTTCGGACTCGATATGGGCATTATGAGTTTCTAGTAATGTCATTTGGGCTGACAAATGCCCCGGCATCATTTATGGATTTGATGAACCGGGTGTTCAAACCCTATCTGGATTCCTTTGTGATTGTGTTTATTGATGATATCTTGATCTACTCCCACAGGCGAGAGGAGCATGAGCTGCATCTCCGGATTGTACTTCAGACTCTAAGAGACATCCAGTTATATGCTATGTTTTCAAAATGCAAGTTTTGATTGGACTCGGTCGCTTTCTTAGGGCATGCAGTTTCGGAAGAGGGAATTTAGGTGGATCCTAAGAAGATTGAGGCAGTTCAGAATTGGCCTAGACCTACTTCAGCTACAGAGATCCGGAGTTTCTTGGGTCTGACGGGATATTACCGTCGGTTTGTGGAGAGGTTTTCATCTATAGCAGCCCCCTTGACCAGGTTGACCCAGAAAGGTACCGTTCAAATGGTCAGAGACAAGTGTGAGGCGAGCTTTCAGCTGCTCAAGGCTACTTTGACTACGGTGCCAGTGTTGGTGTTGCCCACAGGTTTAGGATCTTACACGGTATATTGTGATACATCTCGTATTGGACTTGGTGCGGTATTGAAGGTTCACGAGAAGAATTACCCTGTTCATGGCTTAGAGTTGGCAGCCACTATTCATGCGCTGAAGATTTGGATGCCCAAGCGACGCGCAGGAAAAATCCAAGGTTCTAGAGAGGATGATTGCCCATTGGGGTATATTTATGGAGTACATGTCGAATGAGACTTGAGAGGATGTTAAATATATTATATAATATACCATATAATATATTTTTACCTAGGTATTTTACTTATAAATAAAATAACTTAATAGTTTTTTATAATATATTTGTACATTAAAGCTTTCCTTAACGTTACTTTTCAAGAAATTTAGGTAGCATTATTAAATTTGTTAGTAATATTGCTGTGAACAAATCTCAAATCAACGTTCTTAACCATGCCTAATCAAAGGTTTTCAATGAAAATTATAAAATCAAAACTCACATATTTATCAACGAAGCCATATTTGTTAATCCAATAAACGAAATATCCATATTTAGCACACTAGCACCTCAGATTGACACTTTTAAATAAAGTACTATTTGAATTTCAGTTGTTTGAAAACCTGAATTTCACTTTGAAAAAATATTAAAAATTAATGAATGAAACCTATTATTTCACTTGAAATACTCCTCAAATAAGTTAATCCCTCCGGTCCACAATAAGTGACTATTTTACCTTTGGTACACTCATTAATGAAATACGAAATTCTAGAGAAAAAATATGTATTCACTAAATTAACCTTAATTAATTGTTATCTTGACACATTGAAATATGTAAATAAAGAGAAATTTTAAAAAAAATAAAATTAATTCGTTCTTGATTATGTAAATGGACACTTATTTTGGACCAAATTAAAAAAGTAAAATGATCACTTATTGTGGACCGGAGAGAGTACTATTTAATATTTCACGTATTTGCAAATACTGATGATTAAACCAGTATTTCCAAATACCGGGAATCTTAGTTCAAAAATTTAATCCTGCAATTCGAAGCAACAACGACTAAAAATGTAAACTAAGGTTATTCATCATAACCTTAGTTGGTTCGGTTCCGGAGAGGTTTCGGCCTGAGTTGAGACACTTAGTCTCAAAGTTGGAAGCTTAAGGTGAAAAGGTTGACCGGATATTGACTTGTGGGTAGATGGCTCCGGAATGGAATTTTGATGGTTTCGTTAGCTCTGTTGGGTGATTTTGACTTAAGAGTGTGTCCGGATAGAGATTTGGAGGTCCGTAGTTGAATTAGGCTTGAAATGACAAAAGTTAAAAATTTAAAAGTTTGACGGGGGGTTGACTTTGTCGCTACCGGGTTCGAATTGGGGTTCCGGGAGTTGGAGTAGGTTCGTTGTGTCATTTCTGACTTGTGTGCAAAATTTGAGGTCAATCGGACGTGATTTGATAGGTTTTGGCATCGGATGTAGAAGTTAGAAGTTCAAAAGTTTATTAGGCTTGAATCGATGCGCGATTCGTGGTTTTAGCGTTGTTTGATGTGATTTGAATGCTCGACTAAGTTCGTATCGTGTTATAGGACTTGTTGGTAGTTGCGGTCCCGGGGGCCTCGAGTGGATTTCGGATGATTAACAGAGTGAAATGGGACTTGGAATGACTACTGAAGCTTGCTGGTGTGAGTGTTCTGGTTTCCTTCTTTGCAATCGTGTGGATAGGTCCATAATCGCGAAGGGTTGTTTGTCACTGATGGGAATTTGTTATATGCGATCACGAGGTGAGGTTTGCGATCGCGTAGCTAGAGCAGTTAATGCATCGCGAACGCGTGGCTGAGGTCGCGTTCGCATAGAGGAAAGGCATGGTTGGGGGTTCATGCGCATTTTGTTCATCGGAAACGCGTGATGTAGTTAGCGATCGCGTAGGTCTGAAGGTCTGTGCATCGTGTTCGCATAATGTTTTCCGCGTTCGCGTAGGGTTAACTTGTGGGCAGTATAATTTGTGCTTCACGATCGCGAAGCATTTTCCGCGATCGCGATTTAGGACTTCCGGTGAGAATATTTAATCTCAAAAATGAGGGTTTGAGTTTATTTCACAATTTGACTTTGGGAGCTCGGCGGGAGGCGATTCTTGGAGAGATTTTAAAAGCAGTGGTTAAATTCCATGATTATATCTTCGATTTCACCATTTAATAAGTGAATTGGGTTGAAAAATTGGGGAAAAATGGAGGAAACTCGTTAGGCCGAATTTTGGGAATTTGATCGAGATTTTGGTATCAGATTTGAGTAATTTTGTTATGGGTGAACTCGTGGTTGGATGGGTGTTCGGATTTTGTGAATTTTATCGTATTCGAAGACGTGGGCCTGGGGGTTGACTTTTGAGTTGACTTTTTGACTTCTAATTAAGAACTTAGCACTTTTATATGTAATTGATTCCTATAGCTTGAGTTGATTGTATCGAATTATTTGTGGCTAGATTCGAGGCATTCGGAGGCCGTTTCGCGACACAAGGGCTTGTTGGAGTTGCGATTTGCATAGTTTGAGGTAAGTAACACTTCTAAACTTGGTTTTGAGGGTATGAAACCCCAAATTACATGCTATGTGATTTATGTTGAGGTGACGCGCATGCTAGGTGACGGGCGTGTGGCCGTGCACCATAGTTATTGTGATTTAGTCGATTCCATGGAACTGCGTAGCCATCTTATCTAAACATTTTTACTGTACTCTATGTGTTAGAGCACTTAAGCTGTGATTCATGCTACAAATCATGTTTAGGCTATATGCTGGTACTTATTGAGTTGGTTGTACTCACGCTACACCCTGCACTTCGTGTGCAGACAGGTGTTTTCGGTCACGGCGGTTGCTGATTCTCAGAGTTCAGTCATTTGGAGATCATCGAGGTAGCTGCCCTGGCATCCGCAGGCCTTGACTCTCCTCCCCTATTCCTCAGTTTTACTTGTTCAGTTCAGTTTCTTAGACAGTGCTTCAGACTTTGTATTTGTATAGATGCTCGTGTACTCAGTGACACCCTGGTTTCGGGAAAACTTCTATGTTGAGTTATGGCATTTTATCCAGTTTTATGAGAATTTTACTTAATAACACCTGTTTTAGTATATTTAATTTTTTGAAAGTGTTGGTAGCGTCTGAGATGTCGGCTTGCCTAGTACCATGTTAGGCGCCATCACGACAGGTTGAGTTTTGGGTCGTGACAATACGGTTCGGTATTTTTTCGGTTTATTTTCATAAAATAAAAAACCTACCCTATTATTGGTACGGTTTTAAATTTATATAAAAACCTACGGTTTTATTAATAGAAACTTAAAAATCGATTTGGTGCGGTACAGTTCGGTTGGTTTAGTCGATTTATAAATGTCTATTGACCACCCTAGCAAGACCGATTAAAATGTAAACTAAGCTTATTCATTATATCCTGAGCATGAAAAAATAAAAATATATTTCAGAGCACTCCTTATAGGCCCCAACTGCTCCTACACTTTTTGTCTTAGTCTTATCTCTGATAGAATCAGTAAACGAAAAGTAAGGAACCAAATTCGAATCACAAAGAGTTAGATGCATGTGTAGGCAACCAAAAGCACTAAAACAAATTAAAGCATATAATGGGACAGGCCCTTTGATAGCAAATATTACCTGTTTCTTGTCACCCACAACCCCCAAAGAAAAAGAAAAAAAAAGCATGTGGTATGGAATGAATTATGTTCCATACTTTTGGCCCCAGTACTTATCCTTTCTCTCCACACTTTTTTCTTGTCAATTCTCAATCATGTTAAATCTAAGGAAAAAAGTAACAAAACAAACTTGATCAAACCTTTCTTATTTTGGAAACTAATAAAGCAATCATGTCCATTAATTAATCACTTCTTCTTGTTCTTTTCCTTTCCACTTGAAAAGAATGAACTTAAACCAAACAAACTTGCTGAAGGGACATTTAGTACTGGACTGAATTTAACTCCATTATTGTTGTGTGAAACTTTCTTCAATGGAGGCTTTTGACAATTATGACCATTATTAGATGACACTGATTTTGGAAAGTGTCTCTGAGATTGCTGCTTGTGACTTAAATTATCCTTTGATGACGACGAATTACGCTTCACACTTGGAGTTGAACCAGTTGAATTGCTTCTTGATAAAAGTGGCAATGGACATAAAGTTCTTGCATAACCATTCCCACAATTTAAGCTACTACTTCTCTTGAATCTCCAAAATGACTTTGAACTCTGCTTTTCATCTATTGATTCAAGAAACCCTGCTTTATCTTCATTCTTCGAATTGGAGCTGATTTTGCCATTATCAAGAATATTGCTAGTGTTAGGGTTACTATTATTCTTGCATGGAGGCAGAGGAGGGGGTGGTGACATTGGACGTTGATCTATTTTTTTGAATGGGGCAGAGGAAATTCTTCTCTTGATTTCAATGGGTAAAATCTTTCCATCAAAGAAAAGCTCATCAGCTGACGAAGATTCAAGATCAAAGCTTTCGCGAAAAACGCAAAAATCAAAATCAATACTAGAGGAAGATGAAGTTGATCGAATGTGTTGCTCAACAGGAACATAATCTGTCTGTGAAATATCGAAGGAGATCCGAGCTGGACTCATTATAGATGATTCATCAGATGAACACAGCTCAATTGCCATTGTAATTGAATGCAATTAAGTTAACAAAATGAATTGAACAGGACACTAGGTCATAAAGACTGCACTGACAATTTTTTTTTAAAAATTCCAAACCTAACAAATAAAGACCAGAATAAAAACCCCAACTGACAATAGTACTAAAATTTGAACACAAAATGGTTGGAAGGTAGAATATTAAGAGGAGGACGTTAAATAGTAGGAGAGGAGTAGTATTGAAGCAAAAAGATTGGTCGAAAAATGGACGGAAAGGGAAGAAAAAAGAAGATGAATAATGAGAGAAATCGTGGGGAGGAGGCTAATTAATGGAGGCTTGGACATGAAGATAATAGAACATATAACAGGCTTTTAAGTGATAACTACTTGTGAAGCGAAGATAAAAGAAAAAGGAAAAGGAAAAAAAGTGATAACTATTTTGGAATTGGTCGGGGAAGTTTTAGAAGCGACGTGGCCGGGGGTGGAATTGTGGAACGGGTATAGGACAACTTTTGGGAGAAGTAATATAGTAAAAATTTATCCCCCCACACACACACGATATTTACATCAAATATATTAATTTATCATGGTTGAACAACAACTAATGTCAAATATGTATAAATTAGGTGTGATTTAGTGTAACAATATGACATGTGTCATATATGGGCCGACCATAGGTTAAGGCCAATAAAGTTGGGATATTATCACCTTTAGTCCGCGCCAGAAACCATTTATATTCGGTAGCCGAAAAAGTGTATAAAATTTGTATAATTTTTGTACATAACATACAAAATGTATATATATACAAAAAAAATATATTTTTTCGACTATTATTTTTAGAGTGGCTATACAGTGTCATTTTTTTCCGATAAAGCCATGCTTTTAGGCCCCGTATTTCTAGAGACACCAAAATTTACCAAGTATTGTTATATAATAAATTATATACAATAATTAGTGCATTTTGTTACCTTTTTTGTTTTTATTTTTCCTCTTCCACGTACATCTACTCATTTTCCCTTTTTATAGTGAGTTCACTTTTCAAATTTAACTCAATGTTTATGAATCAATTAATTTTCATTGTCGCACTTGATTTATCATGTTATTATAAAAGCACGAATAATAATATTAATTTACAAAAATATCCTTAAAATATTAGTTTACTTTTATGAGTAGAAAGTCCATAATTGTCAGTACACTGAAGAGTTCTAGAACTATTATAATAGATATTATAATAGGAATTCTCCGAGTAAAAGTTTGAAACCAACAGAACTAGGAGAATGAAAGTCTTATTTTGTGAAAAAATTCCTAACCCGTTACTCATTTCCCAACAGAATTAGGAGAATGAAAACACGTATAAGGTTGTTACAAAATATCTCTAAATTTGAATGCAGATATGATACTTTAATGACATTTTAGGGGTATTCTCACTTTTAGCCCGTATCAGAAATTATTTATATTCGGTAGCCAAAAAAATGTATATATATATATATATATATATATATATATATATATATATATATATATATATNACGCACGTTCATAGAAACTAATATATATATATATTCGACTATTATTTTGAGAGCGACTATATAGTGTTATTTTTCCGATATTTTATTTGTTGGAGAAAAGTAAATTTAAGCGTCAAGAATGTCTTTTGAAGCTTTGGTATGTTAATTTTCAATAGTTTTTTAATCTTATTTTTGCCAAAAAAAAAGAAAGAAGAACTTATGACATAATATAAGTTACTGATTGTTCGATGTTTCTTAAAATAGGAGATTGCATCTATGGAGAGTATGTTATTTTCTTTGATGATGCCGTAATAGTGAAGCTTGTAAAATTATGGTAGAAAAGTGAAATAGCGGTTGATACAAATTTATAATAGTGTTATATTTGAGCAAGAAATCTAATGGGTTTAAAATTTAAAATTTTATATTGTATATGTAACATATTTATTCGCTTTACATATAATTATATCAAAAGTTGAACATAGAGTTTTTTAGGTCATTTAATGTTAATGGGAAGTTAATTTGTTGAGTAAATAGATTAGAGAAAGATAGTCAGTGGATGATTTCAAAAACCACTCGGAGTATATAGAGGGCTAATTTCTTCTTTCTTTATTTTGGAAAAGTAGAAAGTGACAAAAGCATTATGGAAAAACTATAGCTTTATACTGTTATAACTCAATTTTTGTCATCTAAGTTTGTAAAGGAATTTCCACCGCAAATAAATTTTATTTTGAATAAAAGTAAATTGCACATTTTGTATAAACTTATTTCACTATTTCAAGTTAGAAGTAGATGTTTATAGGGACGAAGAATGCGACATAGAAAAAGTGAAGATAATCTCATCGATAATACCAAATTCAACTCTAATTCTGAGAAAATTCTATTTTCTGACAACATTAGGTTAACGATTGGGGAAGATGAAGCCGAAAATATTGGAGTTTGCAGGTAAAAGTAGAAGTAAGTCAAGGTCCAAATACTATGATGTTACATGCAACCACTGTGGCAAGAAAGGACACATCAAAAGGTTTTGCCGCAAGTTGAATCAAGACACTAGAGAAGGAAAGAAAGCTGAAAATAACGAGAACAATGTTGCTGGTATTGTTCGAGATGACCTTCTTTTTGCTTATGATGAAAACGTCATCAATTTGGTATCCCATGAGACGAGCTGGATAGTAGATTCTGGAGCTAACTCACATGTCACACCAAGAAAAGATTTTTTCTCATCTTATACTCCTGTTGATTCTGGAGTGTTAAAGATGGGCAATGCCAGTGAAGTTAAGATGTTTGGTGTTGGCACAGTTTGTTTGAAAATTAATAATGGTTCAACGTTAGTTCTTCAAGATGTCAAGTATGCTCCATACTTTCCTTTCAATTTGATCTCCGCAGGAAGATTAGACGATAAAGGTTACCGTAATGCCCTCTTTAATGGCCAATGGAAGCTCACTAAGGGCACGTTAGTAGTGGCTCACGGAGTCAAGTCTGGTTATTTATTTGTGACACAGGGCTCTATTCTTAATGACTCAATAAATCTGGTGGAAAGTGATACTTTATCATAATTGTGGCACAGAAGATTGAGTCATATGAGCGATAGGGGGATTACGCGTTTGGCTAAGAAAAGTTTGCTTTCTGGATTGAAACAAGCAAAGCTGAAAAGGTGTATCCATTGTTTAGCTGGCAAACAGAAAAGGGTTTCCTTTCATAGCCATCCTCCCTCAAGAAAGCCCGATTTATTGGAGCTAGTACACTCTGATTTGTATGGTCCTTTTAAAGTAAAGTCAAAAGGAGGTGCACTTTACTTTGTGACCTTCATTGATGATCATTCACGTAAGCTCTGGGTGTATCCTTTGAAATCTAAAGATCAAGAACTTGGCATGTTTAAGGAATTTCAGGCCTTAGCTGATAGACAGACGGGGAAGAAATTAAAATGTATTCGCACTGACAATGGTGGTGAATATTGTGGTTCCTTTGATAACTATTGCAAGGAACAAGGAATCCGTCATCAGAAAACTCCGCCCAAGACGTCTCAATTGAATGGTTTGGCAGAGAGGATGAATAGAACTCTAGTTGAGAAGTTAGATGCTTACTTTCAGAGGCTAAACTTCCAAATACATTTTGGGCGGAAGCACTTAACACTGTTGCCTATGTTATCAATTTGTCTCCTGCTGTTGCTTTGGATGGTGATCTCCCAAACAGAGTTTGGTTTGCCAAAGATGTTTCTTATGATCACCTGAGAGTTTTTGGGTGTAATGCTTGTGTGCATGTTCCTAAAGATGAGAGATCAAAACTGGATGTCAAAACTAAGCAGTGCATCTTTATCGGTTATGGTCAAGATGAGTTTGGGTATCGTTTATATGATCCAGTTGACAATAAACTTATTAGAAGTCGCGATGCAATATTCTTTGAAGACCAAACTATTGAAGATATTAACAAACCTGAGAAGATAGATTCTCAGAGTAATGAGAGCTTAGTTGATATTGATCCAGTTTTAATTGCTAAGGCACCTATTGCACATGAAGGAACCCAAGACAATGATAGAGATAGTGATCAGAATCAAAATGATCATCATGGTGTAGATGTTATGGATGCTCCAGTTGATGAAGTTGTGGTTTATCATCAACCAATTCCTGCACAGGTAACTACTTCGAATGCTCCTGAAACCTCTCTTAGAAGATCTACAAGGGAGAAGCAAAAAATCCATGCGCTATCCTCCTGATGAGTATGTACTTTTGACTGACGTGGGAGAACCTGAGAATTATGATAAAGCCATGCAAGATAATCACAAAGATCAGTGGATTAAAGCGATAGAAGATGAGATGAAGTCACTCCATGAGAATGGCACATATGAGTTAGTGAAATTGCCGAAAGGTAAAAGAGCTTTATCTAACAAATGGATATTCAGAATAAAGCAAGATAACCATACCTCTGCGCCTAGATACAAGGTGAGGTTATTTGTTAAAGGTTTTGGCCAGAAGAAGGGAGTTGACTTTGATAAAATTTTCTCCCCTGTTGTGAATATATCTTCTATTCGTGTGGTTCTAGGCTTAGCTGCAAGTCTAGATTTAGAGGTTGAGCAGATGGATGTCAAGACTGCTTTTCTTCATGGTGATTTAGATGAGGAGATTTATATGGAGCAACCTGAGGGTTTTGTAACTAAGGGAAGAGAAAATAATGTTTGCAAATTGAAAAAGAGCCTGTATGGATTGAAACAAGCTCCAGGGCAATGGTATTTGAAGTTTGAATCTGTCATAGAAGAACAAGGGTACAAGAAAACTTCTTCAGACCACTGTGTATTCTTCCAGAAGTTCTCTGATGATGATTTTATTATTTTATTGCTCTATGTGGATGACATGCTTATTGTTGGCAAGAATAAATCCAGAATTGTAGTCCTTAAGAAGCAGTTGAGCAAATCTTTTGCGATGAAGGACTTGGGGCCAGCAAAGAAAATCTTGGGCATTCAAATCCACCGACACAGAGATAGAAAAGAGTTATTTCTGTCCCAAAAGCAATACATTGAGAAGGTACTCAAGAGGTTCAATATGACAGATGCAAAAGTGGTTAGTACACCTCTTGCTAAATACTTCAAATTGAGTATTAGTCAGAGTCCATCTATTGATGAAGAGAAAAAGGAGATGTCTCGTATTCCTTACGCTTCTGCCATTGGTAGCTTGATGTATGCTATGGTTTGCACTAGACCAAATATTGCACATGCCGTTGGTCCTGTTAGTAGATTCCTTTCTAACCCTGGAAAAGAACATTGGGATGCAGTAAAATGGATATTAAGGTATTTGAAAGGTACTGCAGATTTGAAGCTGTGCTTTGGCAATGGCAAGCCTGAACTTGTTTGTTACACAGACTCTGATTTAGGAGGCAATCTTGATAATTCAAGATCTATTTCCGGTTATTTGATCACTTTTGCA